CACCACCACCCCCCCCAAGAGGAATGACACCAGACAAGATGAACACAGCTTCTCGGCAAGAGGAGACACAGTTCAGGTCATTGTTCAGTCTCCATCTTTCGCGGAGGAAAGAAACCAAGACTCCGAGAGCCGAAATGCTTTGCTCGAAGGTCACACCTAAGGAAGAAGCAGAGCCGAGACTGGATGCCTCCTAGTCAGTGATAACTCCAAACCGGGCCTGGCCCAGAACACCCACAGGGGGAGGGCTTTCTCCTCCTGCACCCCCACAGAGGTGTGACTTTGGGGTAACCTGGATGGACAATAGACCTAAGCTCACCTGGGTCTGTGGGGGGTGGACGTGGGTTCTTCCCTAGGGATATGGCCAAAATCAAGGCTTTATCCGGTCCTGGCGGGTTTGGCTCAGTGGATAGAGCGTGGGCCCTTGGACTGAAGGCTCCCAGGTTCGATTCTGGTCAGGGCACCTACCTCGGTTGCAGGCTTCTCCCTGTCCGGGCCTCGTAGGGGGGGCAACAAATCGGTTGCAGACTCCTCCCCGTAAAAAAACGACAAAGTCTTTTCAACAAATGGTGCTGGAATAACAGGACATCCACATGCAAAAAAATAAATAAATAAATTCTAGACACAGACCTTACACCCTTCACAAAAATTATTTCAGAATGGATCATAGATCTATATATAAAATACAAAACCATAGAACTTGTAGAAGATAACGTAAGAGAAAATCTAAATGAACGTGAGTTGGGCAATGACTTTTTAGATACATCAAAAGCACAATCCATGAAAGAAATGGACAAGTAGGACTCCATTAAAATTTAAAACTTCTGCTTTTCCGTAGCTTGGACAATATTCCTGGATCTGAGCGTTAGCTTCCTCCCCCAGATTTAAGATCTGAGGCCGAGCGTGGTCTGTGAGAGGTCAGGATGGGAATGGGGCCATGGGGGCCATTCTGAGGGCTTTAGTTTTCATTCTGAGTGAGATAGGAAGCCTTTGACGTATTTTCAGAAGAACATTGGCCTGATCTAAATGTTTTCAGGATCGTTCTGTCTGCTGCGTTGTGCAGAGCCTGTGGGTGAGGGCTCTTTGGTTATTACTTGCTGGAAACGATTGACGTGGACTTGGCAGAGCTGTGGCGGTGATGAGATGTGGTGGGTTCTGGGTATGTCTTGAAGGTAGAACCAATGGGATTTGTTGATGAATTGGATGTGAGGTATGGGAGAAGGAGAGTTGAAGGTGGTTAGAGCAGTTGGAAGGATGGCACTGCAGGTGGGGAAGGCTGTGGGGAAGTGTGGGGTGGGGGAGTCAGGGGTTTGTTTTAGGCCCGTTGAACCAGTGGGGAGTCGTGAGGACATACATGGCTTCTGAAGACCAGAACTCGGATGAAGTTCCCTGGGGCCTGAGTGTAGACAAAGGGGAGAGGTGGGGCCTCCTAACTGAGTTCTGAGACACTGCAACACTTAGCGGTCAAGAAGATGAAGAAGGCGCAGCAAGACTGAGGAGGATGAGTGAGGTAGGTAGAAAGCCGCGTCCTGGACCGCAGGTGGAGGAAAGGAAATGTTTTAGGAAGGAGAGGGATTCAGTGAGCCAGCGTCTCCCATTTAGCGCCACTCTGACCTTGGCAAGAGCTATCCTGACGCGGTGGTGGGGTGAGGCCCTAATTTGAACCGACGGAAGGGGAATGCAGGAGAAGGATTGCAGATGCGTATAGAGACAGCTCTTTCAGGGAGTTTGCTGTAAAAGGGAGCAGAGAAATGGGTGGGAGCTGCGGGGGGGTGGGGGGGGGAGGGGGGGAGGTCTGGGATCAAGGGAGAGTGCTTTTATTTTTGGTATTAAAGAGATTTCAGCCTGTTTCAAGCCGTTGTTTCTCCTACTCGTGTGTGAAACACTGTGCCCTTAAAAAGAGATTTCCCCAGTAATGTTGAATGAGAGAGAGAGAGAGAGAGAGAGAGAGAAGCGCAGAGGTATGAGAGAGAGAGAGAGAGACAGACCTTCTATTCTAAATGGGGTTTGGAACAACTTCTGTAGAAAGCATTTTCTTTCAGAATTACCCAGTTTTGTCAATGCTAAAAATTTACCTGCAGAAACAATTTCCTCTTTAATACTATAGCCAGTTTTAAAAAGCGAAGGGTTTCATATCACACGACGCCTGCACCTCATTTGCTAGTTCTGCTGCAAGTGCAGAGGCCCGAGATGGAGGAAACAGCCTTGATGGGGAGCAGAGCGGCTGGGCTGCCCCAGCTCAGTTACTATCCGCTGGGATCCTGAGCATGTCGGGTTGCATCGCTGGGTGTCTGTAAATTAAAGCACTGAAGTATGGCTTCTAAGTGACCTATTTGTCCTTGCTTTCTTGAGCACTTGGCTATGCATTTTAATTTATATTTACCCTGTATTTTCAGATGCCTGCAGTGGGGAAGGGAAGCTGGTCGGCCTTATTGTCGGACTTAAAGCACACATGTGAAGCTTGATCAACTGTCACTCATTCGCTCACTCATGTAACATTATTTACTCTGTGCCAGGAACAGGTAGGCCGAGGGACCCAGAGGTAAACAAGGCAGGTTTTATCCCTGCTTTCAGAGCAGTGGTTCTCAACCTTGGCTGCACATTAGAATCACCTGGGACTCTTTAAAATCCTGATTTCTGGGCCCCATCCTCCGGAAATTCTGTTTCTTTGTTACTAATGTTGTGGCCCCACCCCA